TGAATTAAAAATTTTTAAATGTTTAAATTTTAAAATATTTATAAATGTATTTAAAAATTCATATATTTACTATAGATATAAATTTTATATAAATATAAATTTAAATGTTCTATCTTATTTATTTAAATTTTATAATATTTATATTTATATTTTTTAATAATTCATATATTCAATAATGTTAATAGTCATTAAAAAGAAATATCATTCCATTTTGTTTTATATAGATATATTTTTTCATTGAATTGAATATATTTTGAAAATTCATATTATAAAAAGTATTGAAAAAAATGGAACGTATTATATTAATTTATTAATACATTTGTAATATTTGTAATTTTTCAAATAAATTTTAAAATATAAAACATTATGTTTAATTTTTCTTTTTTTACAATTTCTTTTAATATTATAATATTAAAAATCTAATTTTATATTATACATTTACATTTATTCTATAAAAATTGCTCAATTTGAACCAAAATTTTTATAAAGAAAATATAAAAAATAAATTACAAAAATTTAAATTTATTTAAAAATTAAAATATTACAGAAGATTAAGAAAAATATAATTTAAAAAAACAAGTATTTTCTACCAAAAATACTAACTATTTAATTATTCTGTTCACCAGTATCTTTCTCAAACGCAAAATCCATTGGACCCATCCCTGGAGAAGTTGATCGAGTCGCTGAAAATCTTCGATCGGTTGTTCGCCGATTTCGAGCTATGTTACGTAGGCGTGATGGTGCCGGTGAAATCGACGAAGGAGTACGAGCAGCAGGAACTCGTGTGCGTTTTATTTTCGGAGACGCTGCAAAGAGCTCTCGAACGTGGATTGCTCAGCCAAGCCGACGTGGATAATTACGAGCCAGCTCTGATGTTTACTATTCCACGTTTGGCGATTGTTTCTGGCCTCTTGGCTCCGCCTGGAGGCCCTTTGTGCCTCAATTCCCCTGACAACATCAGCGAAGTGTTTAGACCTTTCAGGGTAAGGAGAAGAACGCAATACGTATTATAAACGAGTTATAATTAACAGTCACTTATCTGTTAATTAGCAGATTTTATAAAAATTTGATTATGATACCAATTATTGTGATTAGAGAGAACACTAGAACATTATCGATCGTAATGTATATCTTATTTTTATTACTTTTTGGAATGAATGAAGAAGATTGGAACAAGTTAATCTTATTATTATGTTAACATATAAGATTTGTATCAATTATAAATGATTCTGGAAGATTACATTGTGGATTAAGTCTAATTTTGTCAATTCATTATTGTTTTATATTCGTAATAAAATTATATTTGTCTTATATTATTATGTTGTTGAAATAGTCATTTTTATTAATTTGTAAAGCTATTCAAAGATAAGTGATTAAATGTACTGTTAAATAATATTTGTTGCACATCAATTAAAATTTTAAATTAGATGAATATTATTTTATTATAAAGAAGTAAGAAGTATATTGCAATGAACTATATTCAACTCAATTTAAATGTTTTTTACTCCAAAAATTTAGCATAAATATATATAAAAGATTCAATTAGATTGAAAAAGATTGTATTAAAGAAATCTTTCATTGATGTAAAAAGTTATTTAATGATAAATTATAATCATAAAAAATAATTATTAATAATATTCAAATTAATCAAATCATTTAATCAAATCACAAATATAGTGATTTTAATCTTATTTTTCAATGGACAAGATTAAATTTGCTAAATCAAATTTTGATTATTATTTTTAATAAAGTAATAAATATTAAAACTCATACTAATTGTAAGATTTGATCATTTCAGTTGCAATAATCTAATAATTATGAGAAATTCAATACTTTTGATATTATGAAATTAACCTTTAACATTAAAATTAAATTTTATAATTAATTAATATCATTTAATTATTTAATATTTAATAATATAATTAAACAAATAATGCTTTTAAGACTCAAAATATATGATAAATTTAAATCCTAAAAAAAATTGATTTACATCACTGTCAACTCACTGTCAATCCGCCAAATATGCTATAGATAGATGATTATTGAAGTCACTATAATAAAAATAAATTTATTCTAATGAAAATAAAATAGTATTATATAATTATATATATATTTTAATAAAAGTTGATGTTAATTTCTTTTAATAATTAAAATAACAATTTTTTATAAATAGTTTTAGTATTAAAGAAATGGAAATAAAAAATTACTTTGCAACAGTGTTCTAAAGTTTTAAAGTATAAATTTAAAAAAAAGACTAATTTTAAGTTTTGTAATGTCTGAATCGGTAAAAGATTAAATGGTAATTTGATGAAATTCAACGTTAAATATAAACTAAGTTTCAGAAGTTTTGAGAATATTTTAAAAGAATATATAATTTAAAAATTCAATCTAGTTTTATAATAATGAGAAATTCTGGTTTCTATTTTTAAAATAATTTTAGTGACTTCTAGATTCGTGATTAAATTATAAATGAATGCAGAAGAAGCACAAGAATAGAATATAAAGATAAGTTTATTTTTTAATTTATATGCACATATAATAGTACTAGTTTTTTTTTGTTTCTCATTATCATTCAGAAAGAAATTCAAGATCATTACATATAAATATCCATTCAGAAACCAACAAAAAAATATTTTAAATGGATTGAATTTCAAAAAAAAAAAAA